ATTGTGCATGCCTGTTCAATAGTGTCCAACTCTTTGTGAACCCATGGACTGTAGCCCGCCAGGCTCCTCAGTCCATGGGATTCTCCAGGCAAGAATACTGGAGTGGGTTACCGTTTCCTCCTCCAGGGGATCTTCCCAGCTCAGGGACTGAACCCAAGTCTCCTGCATTGGAAGGCGGGATTCTTTACCACTGAGCCTCCTGGGAGACTAGAGTAATACTGGGTGACAGTCGTGGATACAGTAGATGTTTCTCCACCAAGAAGAATTACATTCATTCCAACACTCTCTAGGAGGTGAGACAGGATACAGAGGGTCCCCACAGCAGAGGAGCTTTCTCTCTGACGGAAGATGGAGGAGTAAGTCATGGTCTGTAACTGAGTTCTCTTTTTCCAGTAACATGGCATGGGGAAGCAGTGGTCCCTAAATCCTACCCCCAGAGTCCCATCTCTGCTTTGATAGAGTGGGAATGTACCTTGCCCATTGGCAGCTCTGGTCCAGTCTTGTTTGAGGCAGGCTTGTTTGGGGACTTTTATGCTAAAACACTCCCTTTTTCATCCCTTCTGGTCAAAGTGCTTTGGGTCACCAGGGGCAGAAACCCATTCACATACAAAAAGTGGATAGGGACTTCTCTGGCGGTCCAGTGGTTAAGACTCTACACTTCCACTGCAGGGGATGTGGGCTTGATCCTTGGTGGGGACACTAAGATCCTGCATGCTAAGCAGCCAAAAAAAACTATTGGAGGACAAATAAGTGAAGAACCAGGCCTCATAGTTCTCTTCCTGGGCTACAGAGTCTCCTGTCTAAACTTTTCTGTGTATTACTTGGTGTGCGCATGGTTTTACCCTAGGGGTCCTGGCTCAAATCCTCATTGAAAAGGAAGGTTTAGTCTAGCTCTCTACAACTAAATGGCTGAAGAGTCTATGATTTTTTATTCCAAACTTTTAAAAAATTATTTATTTATTTTTGGCTGCTCTGGGTCTTCGCTGCTGCACACAGGCTTTCTCTAGTTGCGGTGAGCCCGGATCTACTGTTCGTTGTGGTGCGCAGGCTTCTCATTGGGGTGTCTTCTCTCGTTGCAGAGCCCAGGCTCTACGTGCGTAGGCTTCAGTGGTTGTAGCACACGAGGTCAGTAGTTGTGGCACATGGGCTTAGTCACTCCGCAGCACGTGGGATCTTCCCGGACCAGGGGTCAAGCTCATTTCTCCTGCACTGGCAGGTGGATTCTTGGCCACTGCGCCACCAGGGAAGCCCCTTATTTCAAAGTTTGCAAGAGGAAAAGCTGAGTGGCTGTAAGTCCTGCCGGTGCCCCGCTGACCTCAGGCATCTACTCCTCTTTGAAGGCGCTGTGGCGGAGGTTGGAGCACGATGGACACGACCCATGCGAGGGAACAGGGGGTGAACATGGGAAACTGCTCCCTGAGAAGCAGACACGTCCCTCCCGGAGGTATGTCTCACCCCCATGTGGCGCTGGGGTTCATCAAGGGATGGGAGGCATTCATCCTCAGAGGATCCACCCCACTCAGGAGCAGATCTCAAAAGCTGGGAACTGGAGTCCTATGGAAACACTCTCACCTCCACAGCTCTGGGAATGGGGTGAAATTTCTCATGGAGAGCTCAAGGGGGTGGTGTCTTGGGAAAGCAGCACTGGACTAGGAGTCTAGGGCCCCGCTTCCGACTCTAGCTCAGCCCCCAACCCAAAGAACGCCCTCGGACAAATAGCCTTCATCCTCTGGCTCTGGTAGCCACGCTGGTGGCTCAGATGGGAAAGGATCTGCCTGCAATGCAGGAGACCTGAGTTCCATCCCTGGTTCAAGAAGAGCCCCTGGAGGAGGGCTTGGCAACCCACTCCAGTATTCCCGCCTGGAGAAGCCCATGGACAGAAGAGCCTTGCAGGCTACAGCCCTTAGGGTCACAAAGAATCAGACACAGCTGGGTGACTAATACTTTCTACTTTTCTGGCTCTTAGATTCACCATCAGTTTAAAAAAAAAAAAGTAATAAATTTACAGTGTTGAGTTTAAACATCTTCAAGGCGCTTTCCAACCCCTGAGAATTCCCTACCTTCACCCGCCAGCCCCTCCCACCCCCCCACTGCCAGCAATTTCCCAGAATGGAGCTCTGTGACCCATGACTTTGGTGGGGTCCCGGCCAGCCGCGTCTGTCAGGACAGACCACCCATCCCTGGTGACCTGTCCCTGCCAGAAACTTCCCAGCCTGGCCCCGCACTCATCCAAGAAAACCCAGGCAGGGCGTCCCACGGAAAAGGGTGAGGAACCCACACTTCAACAAGCCCATTTATTTCTGTGCTTCGGAGAAGCTAAGGACAGGTCCTGAACTTTTGCTCTCTGACCACGCTCAAGAGGGCAGGCAAGGACCCCTCTAACAGGGGGTTTTCCAGTGGGCCCAGTGAGGCCCGGGGAAGCTGAGGGAGTGGGTGAGCAAAAGCCGCAGAGGGCAGGGATGGCAATTCACAAGGAATCCCAGAGGGAGAGAAGAAAACATGGGTCCCACGGAAAGATGGCAAGGGCAGTTGTTTGCGCCTCTGGGCTGGAAATGAGTTACATTCAGAAAAAATATGCAAAATGCCACGCTAATCAGCACCTGTTCACTCGGGAGTCAGCAGCCCTGGCCCTCGGCGTCTGAGGTCGAGCCTGGCTTTGGGTCTCCCCAGGGAAGGAAATCCAGTACATTGAGATCCACTCGAGTGTTGAAAGAGGCTGTGGACCTAAGTAGGGTGGAGAGAACGAAGGTGCTCAAAGCCTCCATCGCTCTATCCTGGCCTCTAACGGTCTGTTACGCAAACCTCCTCTCCCCCACCCCGCCCCAACCACGGCCCCAGGCAGATGGCTGCAAATTCTGCAGGGGCCTCTGAGCATTCCCTTGGCTCACAGCCACATTCCAGAGCAGCATATGTTTCATCTCAAGCCCACAAGGTTTGCACTTCCAAGTGGAGCCAAAGAGAAAACCTTGGCGGGGCTGCACATGCCTTTGGAGAGGTGGGGGTGCTGGAAGCAGCAGTGGGGCGGGAGCTGTCACGTCGAGGAACATCTATGGGTGTGTCAGTCGCTCAGTCGTGTCCGACTCTCTGCGACCCCGTGGACTGTAGCCCGCCAGGCTCCCCTGTCCACGGGATTCTCTAGGCAAGAATACTGGAGTGGGTTGCCAGGGGATCTTCTCAACCCAGGGATCGAAACTGCATCTCCTGCACTGCAGGCAGACTTTTTACCATCTGAGTGCAAAGCTATCCAGCATCAGGGACACCCTCCTTCCTAACTCAAAACTCCTCCGGGCACCCACCCAGGAGCCTGCGCATCCCTCCGACCTCATATCCCAGTTCTGCACCTCCATCTCAACTCCTGCCCCTCCTGAATGGAGGGCTCATAGCCCAGGGCTGCGTGGAATGAAGAAGGAAAGGGGGGTGCACCCCAAAGCCTCCGTGTCCCTGTAAAAATGCCTGGATCTCACCCTTCCTTGCCCCATCGCTCTGCTCTGAGGGGTGAGAGCCCCTGACCTTGGGCTGCAGAGAGACGCCAAGTCCAGAGGAGGATTAGGAAGGATCCAGGGTTGGATGGAAAGAGACAGGAGGAGGAGGAGAACCGGGGTGAGGGGGAGAGAGAAGAGGTCAACTGGGAGCTGAAGCTCGTAAGGGTCTCTGGCTGCAAGCGAGAGGCGGGGTCTCCTCTGGTGGGTGGGGAAGGAGGGGGTCCCCATCCTCGAGGGGTTCTGCTCTGTGGTAAGTGAGGGGATTTCTGACAGCAAAGTAAACTGTGGTGTGTGAGTTTACCCAGCTCCAATAAGCAGTGTTCGGAGTGTTTAATGTTTCCGTCCCAGCAAATTAGTTGACAGGCACTGAACTGCAGCCAGCCCCTGGCTGTCTTTTGGGAAGGGACAGCGTGGGGAGGTGAGGAGACCCCTGTCAGCAAAGCCGGGGTCCCTGACACAACCCAGGAGGGCAGACTTGGGTGGGACCTGGGAGTCAAGCTATCACAGTCCCCAAGTTCGCCAGCAAGGAAGAAGAGCCTGAACTGCAAGTCTCCACTTCATCCCACCCCCTCCCTACTTTGGGCCCGGCCCAGCCCGCACAGGCCACCTTCTACAGGATCTGTTTGTTTTCCTCGTTGTAGTCTCTGTATGAAATGCCCGCCTGTGGGCTACGGGGTCAAACAGCCATACGTAGACAGGCGGAGGGCACATGAACCACAGAATAAATCAGGAAGACACCAGAGCCAAGCGCCCAAGAACAAAGTTAACTAACCCTGGCGTGATGCCCGGGGACGATGTGCCAGTGGGTTTTGTGCTAAGTATGGATGAATGGGTGGAAATATTAGGGGAAAAGAGCTCTACTCTTCTTCAACCAAGGGAAGCTCCCGGGAAGAAAGTGGCTTCTGAAAGGCCCTTCAAATGAAACAGAGAAGAAAAGTTCAGACAGAAGGGCATTTCCGGGAGTGAAATGAACAGAACACAGAGCAGGAGGGAAGAGAACCAGGTGGTGCCTCCGGAAGTGAGTGTACAAAAGGGCAGGGACAGGTTCAGAGATGGAGGAGATGGGGAAGAACCGGCTGAGCCGTGGGCACAGAGCCAGGCACTGGTCCCAGCTCAGCAGCAAAGGGTTTATCCTCTGCAGTCCTGGGCTGCCGCCGCTTCCTCCTCATCACACGCGCAGGGAGTTAGAGGCGACTCTGGACCTACAGAGGCTTCCCTGGAGGCTTAGACAGTAAAGAATCCGCCTGCAATGCAGGAGACCCAGGTTTGATCCTTGGGCAAGGAATATCCCTGGAGGAGGAAATGGCAACCCACTCCAGTATTCTTGCCTGGAAAATCCCATGGGCAGAGGAACCTATTGGGCTAGGGGGTCACAAAGAGTCGGACACACTGGACCTACAGGGCAAGGGGAGGTGGGCAGGTGATGGGGAAGGGGGATGGCACCACGACACAGCCCAGGCTGAGGTCTAAGACGTGGGATCCCTATCAAGCTGTGGGCGTGGAGAAGGGCATGTGGCCATGTGGTTAGGGCAGGCGCAGCAAGGCGTGGGAGCAGCCCGGACCTGTAAGTTTAGAAAGAAAAAACAGCAGGCGGTGGTTCGGGACAAGGGGACTGGAGAGAGCTTGAGGACGCAGGTTGGGGTAATGGTGTGTGTGGAGGTGTGTCAGCGTGACTCAGCTGCCAGCATAACGGCACCAACTCAGTCTAATTTAACTCAGACTCCTGAGTCACAGCTCTTCCACCTCTGCAAAAGTGTTTTAAAATACCCTCCTAAAAGTGGAGAGGAGGAGTAGATTAGTAGCTTCAGATGGGCTCCCAGGAGTTTCTGGGAAGCCAACAGAGGACAGGGATAGGACGAGGCTGGCTTGGGAGGGACGATGCTCACAGCTGGGAAGGCCTGCATCCCACTCCCCTTCCTAACCCGAGCAGTTCCATGTTATCTGTGCATTTGTTTATGCTTTTGTGCAAGATTTCCCTGAAAGAAAGTCTTATCAATGCAAGCCTGTATGAGTGTAGTTTGCAAACCACTAAGGTATAATTTCTCTTGGGAGTCCCTAGCAGCTGTAAGAACTCTGATTCTGTGAAGGAACATGCATGCAGTGAACACACAGGTGAGCTTTGAGGCACATTTCCCAGATTCAAATACCCCGTCTCGCTGTCAGATTGTTCAATTTCATTTTTTTTTTTAATTCAGAAAAAATAGAGTCAGCACAAGCACTGTAAGTCTCACCTCTTTTCATCTGGTTCAGGAGTGGGAGAAACTGCACCGATTTTTATCATTCCTCCAACCTGGACCCTTGGCAGACATCACAAGTCAATAGCAACACTCTCAGAAAAATAACAACAATGACAGTCTTGGGATCAGTCTAAACAGAGTGTTGCAGGCACCCACCTTCCCAATCAGGAAGAGCCAGGACATGAGCTTAAATCTCCCTGCCTGCCCAGATTTGGTTGGTGTCTGACTCCAAGAAGGCTAAGCTAAAAGGACCACCACCATCACTGACCAAACCAATGTCCTTTGTGGTCTCCAGGACCTGTAGGACAAGGTGCTGGCCCGTAATGCCAACAGGGGATGAGAGTTGGCCTTAATTTGGGAGGGAAGTGCTTCAAACTTGCCTGTGAGCCCCCTGGGCCCTGGAGAAAGAGACCCACAGTGTAGGGGAAACACAGCCATTTTTCATACCTTGCACTGTTCAGGGCCAGGGACAGTTACCATATATGACTTTGAACTCTAGATCTATATCCTCAGGCTGCCCCCATCTGTTTATCCTCTACAGTTACTGAGGAGCTTAGGAAAAACTAAAGGACTTTGAACTTGTTTGAAGGGGAAGTATAAAGGGCTGATGGACTTCCCTGATGGTCCAGTGGTTAAGACTCCATGCTTCCCGTGCGTGGGGCACGGGTTCTATCCATGTCAGGGAACTAAGAGTCCACATGCCTCAAAGTTCAGCCAAAAAAAGAACTTTTGTTGTTGTTGTTAAAGAGGGTGGGCAAGACAGACTGGTTTCCAAATCAAAAGTCATCCTGGGATACAGCAGTCTCCTACTGGGGGTGGGGGTGGAGAAAGCAATCTCCGATGCCTGCTTCCCTTTCCTTAGGGAGAAGGAAGAAGAAGCCTTGGAATGATACGGAAAGCAGACACAGCAAATGAAACAAGACAAAAAAGTTGAAAACAAGGTGTTGAAGGGGGTTTGACTGATGGTTTTTTTTTAAATCAAGAGAACTATGTTTTCAAAAGAAATCGGACCGGGAATCTGCCAGGATATAAAGATGTCAAAGGAGCTGCTCTGGTCCAGCGTGGCTCCCTCTTGGTTCTGCTCCCACCCTCCCACCCCGGACTCAGAGACAGGGCCCTATGGTCATTGCCTGGGGTCACCAGCCTGTTGATTCCAGAGCAGTCGCATTCACAGCCCCCTGGCCGGCTTTGCTCCTCACTTCTGTCCAACGTCTGGCCTCGTGTCTAGCACACAGGAGGCCCTTTAGCGTTTGTGGGATAAACGGATCCACCACAATTATGCCATTGACACAGTTTACACAGCGCTTTCACAGGAGTTTTCTGGGGTGAAGGTCGAAATTCACCCTACTTCCATGGGCCGTCTCAGCCGGGCTGGTCCCTCTGCAGTTGGGGGCAGGTTCCACTGAGCGTCAGCCAGTATGAGCTCTGGCCTCCCCGTCTGAAAGGGGCTCTAGGGGCCAGGAACTCGAGGCTTCCTCTGAGAAGCCACCTTCCTGCCCTGCCTTGTCCCTGAGCTGTGACCTGGCCTAGAGACCCTCCATTCCTCACCCCCACTGCCTCGCCTCTGGGTAGAGAGCATAAACACTTGGGGGAGGCCATGGGGATATGCGGCCCAGCAGGAAGCAGACGGTGTCCTGTGGGGCCCAGGGAGAGAGGGCCGTGTCATTTTCGGGAGCGAAGGGCGTCCACCCGTCTCAGGCCCCCTCTCTCATGCCACAAAAAGATTCGTGTCTTCTCTCCAGGGCCTTCAGGACCCTCTCCCAGTCCCTGGCGCAGGCGCTCCCATCTGGGGACATGAGAACAGGCCAGGTTCCCCACTGGGAGGCCGGGGTGGGGCGGAGCCAGGCCTGGCTGGGCCTCCAGGCCAGCCTGCGCTGGCCCCGGGGTTTAATAAACTCCGAGAGAGGTTTTCAAAGGCCACTTGATCTTCCCCATCAGGCAGCCCCCGTCTCCCTTTCAGGGCCGCGGGACTGGAAAGAAAAAACCGCTCAATGAACAAGGCGGCCAGAGAAAGCCGAGCTGCAGGGCACCTTCTATGAATTTCTGATGAGCACGCGGCCCTGACTCCTGGGCCCCGGCCCAGTGCAGCCAGGGGTGTTAGTCTAAGTCATTTCGCACGGTTCACCGGCTCTCTGAGAGCCGCCTGTCTCCAGCCTGGCCCTCTCTAACTAGCTCTTTTTACTCGGGACTTCTCTGAGCAGAGGCCTCAAACAATAGCAGCTTTCAAGGGGCTCAGCCCCTCCTCTGGCGGCTTCCCTCTCCCGCCCCCCGGACCTGCTCCGCCCTGCTCTCTGGCCTCTCTGCCTTGCCCACCTGAACGTCCCACCCAGTCCAGGGCCTGACACAAAGTAGAGATTCAGGGAAAATGTGCCCCTTCCTCCCTTCCATCTTCCCTCCTCCCTTCCTCTGTCCCTTCTTCCCTTCCTCCCTCCTTCTTCCCTTCTTCCCTTCCTCCCTCCTTCTTCCCTTCCTCCTCCTTCCTCCTCCTTCACTGTCCTCCTCCTTCCTCCCCATGAGCGGGCACACATTAAGTAACCACGCTCTCAGGAGCAGCGCCTTGTCCCTTGAATACTTCCGTGGCTGACGCCCCCTGGGTTGCGCAGTGAAGAGGCCAAGGACATCTCACCTGACACTCTAGGCCTGTTGGGCCCCTCAGCCCTCTTGAAATTCGGACCAAGCTCCTCCGTGCTCTACTCTGAGCCCCGGGGCCTCAGGGACTGATCGAGGCAGGTCCCTCTGCCCCCAGGGCAGGTGGGCATGTCTCCCATCTGGCAGGAGCTCTCTGTGTCTCCTGTTCCAGCTGCTTTTTCTCCACCGTCCTCTTGGTCGCCGAGGAGAGTGAGGAGCTAGCTCCCTGCCCTCCCCACCCCTGGTCTCCTTGCTGGGTAACGAGTCTTCAGAGGAGACGCCTGGAGAAGAGGAGAGGCTTATCAGCAGACGTTTAGATTAAACCTCTGGCCAAAACAAACAAACAAAGTTCCTATCAAGACAAGTCACTATTTTGGCTTAAGGAGAGCATCGCCTTAATGTTTGGGTCCTTTGTTGGTGACCTTTGACCTGGGGACTCTGGATGGTGACCTTTGACCTGGGGACTCTGGAATGCTTTGGACGTTTGCTCTGGGAGAGGTTCTGCCCCACTCCTGAGGCACCTGTCAGCAATTAAAGGTCTCCTCCCCAGAGGCCTGGGTACCGCCTTTAGGGTCCAGGGTCGCTTCTCTTTCAAGAGTCCCAAGCAGGGCGGCTGTGTGTGTCCCCCACAGCTTTCCTCCCATTCAATCCCCGCCTCTCCTGGCTTCACACCCGTCATGTCTCCACCCCCACCTCAACAACCCAGCTACTTCCGGAAGTGAGGTTTGACCTGAAGGAAAGCGGCAAGCTGAAGGACCTGTGAACTGGGGACGCAGGCCCCTGCTCTGCCTCAGGCCCAGTCTGGCTCTGTGACTATGACTGGGTTCCCTGTTCTTTACCATCACCTCCTTAGGACAGGGTTGGGCTAGGTCAGTGTTTTCTGGAGATTAATCCCCAAACATCCAGGTTCAGACTCCTCCAGATGACCCAGAGTTTAAATGCAGGCTCAAAGTCCCAACCCAGATCCACAGGGAAGCAAGGTGTCTGGGGACAAGTTCCTGCCCACATTTTATACACCCTCTAGGTGTGTCTTGGACCCCCTAAGGGTTGATAACCACCGTCCTGGTCTGTTCAAACTACAGCTTCCACTGAGCATCCACCTGTTTGCTCTGTCTGAACTTGCTTGAGCTCTGTTTGGGGCAGATTTTCCAAGACCTGAATGACCTTTGCACAGGCTCCTTGCATAGGCATTGGGAGGGGCCCTGGTAACTCTGTGTTTTTACCTGTGAATTCTTTTACTTAAAGAGAGCCTAACCATCACATAATAAAAGCTCAAGTTCCAGAAAACCTGGCCTGGCCCCTGGTTGATCTAGTTGATTGGTGACTGTTTATAGGGTCTTAAGCCTTTGTCCACACCCCCTCTGATGCTAGGCTGTGTCCAGTTTCTCTTACAACTCCTTTCCCTCGTATAGTCTAGTATCCTTTTCCAGTGAAAGCTATAACGGCACCTCTGACAACCACTGAGGTAAGCCCAGAGGTCAAATTTCAATGACTGCCTTCCCCGCCATGGCCAGAGGTAGAAATGATCCCAGAAATGAAGAGGCGTGTCCCAGGCTGGTAGATGCCTCCACACACACTCTATTTGTTGTTTTGTGTTTTTAAATATTTAGTTCTAATTATTTACTTATTTGGCTATGCAGGGTCTTAGCTGAGAGACCCAGGACCTTCGATCTTCGTGCAGAATCTTTTTAGTTACACCGTGTGAACGCTTAGTTGCAGAATGTGGGATCTAGTTCCCTGACCAGGGATTGAACCTTGGCCTCCTTCATTGGGAACAAGGAATCTTAGCCACGGGACCACCATGAATGTCTCCTCTATTTGTTGAAAAGAGTTTCATTCCCACCCGTTCTAACAGGAAAACTTTGAAGGGGCCAGGTAGAGAAAGGCAGATCCAGTTTTTAAGCTCATCAGCCGTTCTTCACATTAGATCAGACTTGGGTTCAAATCGTTACTTGGTCTTTATCAACTGAATGATATTGGAACCTGAGACATGTCTGTCATGAGGAGCTGATACCCCTGCATCTCCAGGGCTTTGGGGAGGGTGGCTGAGACTGGAAATAAAGGCCTTTCAGAGCCCGTAAGTACTAACCCGTTGTAAGATATCACTAATTAGGTAATATTTAGACCAAAGGGGCCTTGGCACAATCCGTGGTCAAAGAGTCTGGGATACCTAACGTCATTGTGTATGTGTGTGCTCTGTCGCTTGGTCGTGTCCAACTCTTTGCAACCCTGTGGACGGCAGCCCATCAGTCTCCTCTGTCCATGGAATTTCCCAGGAAGAATACTGGAGTGGGTTGCTATTTCCTTCTTCAAGGGATCTTCTCGACCCAGGGATAGAATCTGCATCTGCTACATTGGCAGGCATGTTCTTTACCCCAGAGCCACATGGGAAGCCCCACTTAATGTCATTCAGTTCAGTTCAGTCGCTCAGTCGTGTCTGACTCTTTGCGACCCCATGAATCGCAGCACGCCAGGCCTCCCTGTCCATCACCTACTCCTGGAGTTTACTCAAACTCATGCCCATCGAGTTGGTGATGCCATCCAGCCATCTCACCCTCTGTTGTCCCCTTCTCCTCCTGCCCCCAATCCCTCCCAGCATCAGGGTCTTTTCCAACGAGTCAACTCTTCGCATGAGTTGACCAAAGTATTGCAGTTTCAGCTTCAGCATCAGTCCTTCCAATGAACACCCAGGGCTGATCTCCTTTAGGATGGACTGGTTGGATCTCCTTGCAGTCCAAGGGACTCTCAAGAGTCTTCTCCAACACCACAGTTCAAAAGCATCAATTTTTCGGTGCTCAGCTTTCTTCACAGTCCAACTCTCAGATCCATACATGACCACTGGAAAAACCATAGCCTTGACCAGACAGACCTTTGTTGGCAAAATAATGTCTCTGCTTTTTAATATGCTATCTAGGTTGGTCATAACTTTCCTTCCAAGGAGTAAGCATCTTTTAATTTCATGGCTGCAGCCACCACCTGCAGTGATTTTGGAGCCCAAAAAAATAAAGTCTGACACTGTTTCCACTGTCTTCCCATCTATTTCCCATGAGGTGATGGGACCAGATGCCATAATCTTAGTTTTCTGGATGTTGAGCTTTAAGCTAACTTTTTCACTCTCCTCTTTCACTTTCATCAAGAGGCTTTTTAGTTCCTCTTCACTTTCTGCCACAAGGGTGGTGTCATCTGCATATCTGAGATTATTGATATTTCTCCCGGCAATCCTGATTCCAGCCTGTGCTCCTTCCATAATGTCATTGGTTGTACCCAAATCTTTCTGGGGCAGCTGTGTTGCAGGAGGGACCAAGGCCCCTGCAAGGTGAGCTCTCGGGGTAAGATTCCTGCCCGGGATCACCCTCCACCCCTCACTGCGCTGAGCTGTGCTTAGTCACTCAGTAATGTCCGATTCTGTGACCCCATGGACTGCAGCCCAACAGGTTCCTCTGTCCATGGGATTCTCCAGGCAAGATTACTGGAGTGGGTTGCCATGCTCTCCTCCAGGGGGTCTTCCCAACCCAGGGATCGAACCCAGGTCTCTCGCACTGCAGGTGGTTCCTTTGCCAGCTGAGCTACCAGGAAAGCCCACCACCTCTCACCGCTGGCACTAAACGGACACCCTCTCATGCACTCCTTGCTTACCCTTGGCCTGGGCTGAGGAGCTGGGCAAGGAAGCAGACAATGGGGAGCAGGACGTGGGTGGAGGGCCTCCCCTCCCCCTCGGCCCCCTGCAGCCGTTGGCAAAGCAGGTGAAGAAGGAGGAAGAGGAGGACAACGCCACATCTGGTTTGAGTGAGGCTCCCGGCAGGGAGGGCAGGGCCCCGGGACATCAGCAGAGGGGCCAGGCGCTGGGGAGGAAGGGAAGTAGGGGGGCTGGCATGGGTCCCGGCAAATGTAGGAGAAGAGAGGGAAAGTGGTTGGGACTCGGGGGAAGCAAATAAACAGAGGAGTCGAGACAATAATAATAAAGAGAAGAGTCACTGAAGTGAAGAATGGAGATGGTGTCACACCCAAGACAAACAGAAAATAAACGGCCAGCAGATCTACGCTACAGATGTTTGGCACCAAGGCACGACAGATTTAAGATGCGTGGAAGATGCCGCGGCCGACCAGGGCTCCACCAGCAGCAGCTGGAGAGCAGGTGGACAGGAGCCCCAGCCAAAGGCCTTCGTGGCTGGAGGGGCGCCAACCCCAGAGGCCAGCACATCCTCCTCCAGTCTTAGACAAGCCTGCCCCTCGCTGAGCCCAACACGGCGTCTGCACATACCAAGTGGGAGAAGTGGAAGAGGGTTGCCATCCTTCCTGGACCAGGTGGGTCCCTGGGCAGGGGCAGCCTCCGGTTCCCCAAGACAGTTTCTTCCCTTCAAGAGGGACCCAGAGCCCCCAGTACTCAGATGGAGTGACTTCTTCAAGTGGCATCAAGGAAGCAGGGACTGCCTTTCTACGGGCTGGTCGCCAGCTTGCCGCATACTCGTTTTAATGACCTCGGGGACTCAGCATTTTCCCTTCCTGGCATCTCAGGCTTCTGAGCTAACTTTGACCTGCTCCAGTGTGGGGGCTGGGGGCTCAGTGTGCAGGGGATTCACTCCCTCATTTACTCAACAGTCATTTTTGTGTGCCTGGCTCCACAGGAGGCTCCTTGAGGGTTATAGAGATGGGCCAGACGCCATCCTTCCCCTAAAAGGATTTACAGTCCAAGGATAGACAAAATCATTTTTTGAGTGTCCATTACCATAATAAACACTCTGCTAGGTGCCTTCAAGTGGTCCACCTTGTGTATTAGTTGCAGTAACCGTGTTAGGTAGATATGATTCCCTCATTATTCACACAGAGATTTGGGACTTTTTCTACAGTCACAAAGCCAGGAAGGAGATCAGACCAGGTTCATCTGGTCCCAAAGCCCAGTGCTCTTTCCCTGACACCATAAACGGCCATACGGTGAAGAGGAATTCAACACCCACCAGATAAAATCTCATGCTCTCAAAGATCCAAGAAAGAGGTCTCCTGTCTCACACCCACCTCTGCTCTCTGCCCCCTTAATTGGAACCAAACCTCATCTTTCTCTTCCGTGCACCAGCAGGGAGGAGCCAGCCCAGCCCAGCCCTGGCCAGGGCCAAGAGCCTGCAGGTGTCTGAGGAATGCTAATGCCATGAATTGGGGGAGGGTCCCCACCAGGCTCTTCTCTGGCATTTGCTTCCCATTAAGCCCTCTCCCCCTTCCTCTCCAGACCTGCCCTCCCGCTCCAGCAACATGCAGCTTTCATGAGCCAATTACCATGGCCAGGTTGTTCTTTTCCTCCGAAGCCGCTGGCCCTGCTAACCAGGCACAGATGCAGCAGGGCGGGCCCTTTCTTTGCCCTGAAGGACCCCAGGTAGACAGAAGGAAGGTTGGACAGTCCAACCTCAACTCAGCCCCCAAAGGACGGGGAGGCCTCAAAGAGCAATATGGTTACAAGTGGGCTCAGAAAGGGACCTTCCCAGGGCCGTGGAATCGTGGTGGATCTCAGAGACAGCAGGGTACCTGAACAGGAAGGTCAAATATCGGACTTCGACTTCCCTCGTGGCTCAGTGATTAAGAATCCGCCTGCCAGTGCAGGGGGCAGGGGTTCGATCCCTGGTGCAGGAAGATTCCACCTGCCACGGAGCAGCTAAGCCCGTGGGCCACAACTGCTGAAGCCTGCGTGCCTAGAGCCCGTGCTCTGCAACAAGAGAAGCCACCGCAAGGAGAAGCCTGCAAACAGGAAACGAAGAATAGCCCTGCTTGCCACAACTAGAGAAAAAGCCCACATGGCAGCAAAGACCCGGCATAATCATAAATAAAATAAATAAACAAGTTAAAAAGAGAAAGACAGGCTTGAGGGAAGATACAGAGCAGGGGTGGGTCCCTTGAAACTTTTAGTTAACACACAGGTATCCAGGGTCTAGGTAACTTAATTCAAAACAAATAGTTAAAACCTGTTCAGAAACTAGTCCAACAGGCTGGAATCTCCTATTTTCCTACTGTTTCTTAGATCTCCTCAAAAGCTTCACCATACTCTCTGTCTCTGGAAATTCCACTCAGGCTTAAGCCTCAGTGACCCACGAATTTCCCAGACTTTCCTGGGCAAAATTATACTCTCGTGTTTCTTTGAATCTAGAGTCACCGTAATATATCTGAATACAGATTTATTTACGTATGTCCTCCTCAGAATTCCCAACATTTCTTTAACCTGAGGATGAATGTCTTCTGTCAATTCTGGAAAATGAAATATTGCCATTCCCACTTTCTCTATATTCTTCTCTTTCTGTACCTCCCTATAGAGTAGTTTAGATCCCCTTGTTTTCCCCTCCATGCCTCTTAGGTTCTCTTTCATATTTTCTCTCTCCTTATCTTTCAATGCTGCATCTGGGGCAATTTCCTTTGATCTTTCAGTTCACTAAATCTCTGTTCAGCTTTGCCTATCCTGCTGTTTGACACATCCACTGAGCTTTTATGTCAATGACTTTTTTTTTTCACTTCTAGAAAGTTCCATTTGGTCCTCTTTGTAAATTTCTATTCTCTTTCAAAATATCCTATCCTTTATTTATGGTTTGTATTGCTATTTCACCTTTTAAATCATTTTAAACATGGTTACTTTAAGGTCTCTTTCAGATTGCTATATTATTTTATGTTATCAGAATGTTCAACTAGTTTGTTATGTTTGCTGACTTTCCCTACAGGCATATTGTTTCCTCATGTGGTTTGCAATTTCTTTTTATTGTTAGTGCAGCTTCAAAGAGGATTATATTTTGCTGTGAGAATGCTGTTTCTCTGAGGCACATTCTTCTAGTATAGTCTTGTCCTTCTTCCTCTTGATACCCCATGAGTTTTACTGGTCTGGAATCTATTTTTACATTAATTTCTCAGCTTGGGAATTCCAACAGTGGAAATTCAGACACTATAGTCACATATGGTTTGGATCTGGAGCTTCTTTTTCTCACTGGAGACCATTTTTTATTCAGAGTCCCAGTATGCATAAGCTTAATTGTCACTACCATATCTGCCTCTTATGAACTAGAGATCTTGTCATCTACACCCTTGTTGGCCTCAAAACCAAAGTCCCTACAACCTCAGAACGCATCTGATCTAGTAACTCTCTAGGCACCATTATCATGACTCAGTTGCTGGAACTTACTGCTTAGACTTTAAGCTCTGTGTTTACCTACTGGTAAATTTTTTATTGTGCTTTGCATTCTAGGTCATGAATTTTTGCAAACAGACCAAGTACTTCTTGAAAAGCCTGCCTGCTTCATCTCTGTCCCTCCTGTAGTGCCTAGCACAGCATTCCGTCCCAGCCTCCTTACTTATCCACACAGACAGACAAAACCTGTAGGTACCCACACAGGACCCCTCCCTCTATGCGGAATTCCATAAGCTAGGGGCATTCAGGGTGATGATCATGGGAGGAGGAATGCAGAAGCAATCACTGGCCCTTGCTTGCTTCTTCCCAGGACACTTCATTGTTCTCTTCCAAGCCACGGGTTCTTTCATAGGAGGCAGTGCAGGTAGCAGTTTGGATCAGAGTTAGACCTCATTCTAGTCTGATCTCAGGTACTTCTGAGCCCAGCGGACTTGGAAAAGTCACTGCACCTTTCTGAGGTGTTAAGATTCTGCATCTGCAAAACAGAGGCAGGGGAATGGCCTGGGTGATCTCCAAGACCTTTGTCAGGTCCTTTGAAGCCTTGAAGCTGCAAGGTCAGAACATAAGCTGGAGGAAACAGCCAGGCTCTCACTCGAGTGTCCCGTGGATATTCCCCACCCCAAATCACCTCTCGGAGTGGACTCTCTTTCCTCCAACACCTAAACCTCTCCCCCCTCTCCAGCCTCCTTGGACTGTACCCTGCCTTCCTCAAGTCCACTGCCTGGGAGGCCTTGGTCCCATTCCTGTGTCTTAGGAAATTGTGGGGGTGGGGTGGAGGCTGGGCTGGAAGTCAGTATCACCTCCAGCAGTGGGGATGAGCTCCATGGGGGATCAGGGGAGAAAGCAGATGACACGGTGACCCACCAGCACCTGGGTCTGCAGGAGCCCCATCTGTCTTCAGCTTTAGGGGTTTCCTGAGCCTTGGGCTCAGGACCCTGCATCTTAATGAGCCTCTTGAGCCAGTGCAGAAACAATGAATCAAATCCAGCTGGAAGCTGCCCTCCGACCTGCCTAATGACTTGTTTATTGTCAGAGCAGCAGTGCGTCATATAAGGGAATTTCAAAGTGTCACTAATTGGCAGAGGGCCAGTAAATAGCACCATATAAATCTGAAGCTGCTTCCACTGGGGCTGAGGACTGTGGAGCAGATACAGAAGATGTGGGAGAAAGAAGGGTGCTGCCAGGGCGGGACTGTGGGTACAGGCTGTAGTGCCTTGTCAACTGCGGCTGCCCTGGGACTCTGCTACCCAGGGAGACTGGAGTGTTTGTTCTGTGACGGGAGACAGGAAAGGAAAAGTCCTACAATGGTCCTTGTGCCCTTACTGACATTACCTGCATGTCCGCAACCCCATGATGCCTGGGTTCCTACTGTGCTATGGGAAAAGATGCCTTCTCTCTGAGAAAAGGACAGAAGCTCTCACTTGAGGCAGGATTGATGGAGTCTATAAAACCTTGGATCCAAAAAAATAAAAAAATAAAACCTTGGATCCATTACACAGAAATGTTCTGCTTACAGAAGACCCTTGACAAGACCCCTACTCCAGGGCCTCTTAGGGGCGGAGCTGGCAGGACCAGGAAGGAAAGACAAATAGTGTAAAAAGAGCCTCTTCTCACTCAGGGTAACCCA